AAAGAAACAAGTGGGAATAAAGGTATAAACCACATGAGGGCAGCATTTGTGGCTATTCTGCTCACTACTATGTTCCTCAGCAATTAGAATAGTACCTGGTACCAAAAAGGACTCTAATGAATGTTTATTAAATTAATTAATGAATCAGTGAATACATTATGTGAATGAAGAATTTAGCAAACAAGTAATGAATGAATAAGTCAGCTGTCCCTCTATTTACTGACTGATTTACTAGTCAGAGTTTGAGTATTAGCTCTAGCTCTAGAAAACTAGAAATATGATTTTGAATTGCATACTAAAGAAAAATATATTTAGAACAAAAAATAAGGAAATGAATGGTAATTTGTATTTAAAATAAGATTTTTATCTTTATCATATAGGAAACAGGATATCTAATTTCGTCTATACTTTATCTACAAATTCTAATACATTATGACCCATTATCAAGTTGTAGTTGAATAAATGGAATAAATCAAGAGAGAATAATAAAAATTAATGCGAGATTTCTGTAGGACTTTTGTTTCGTGATATGTTACATTTGGTACAATGGCAAGAAAACTAAAAGAGAACCAGGAGAATTGTAGCAAAACGTTGGCCAACATCTGCAATGACAAATACGAAAACCTAAAAAAAGAAGAGGGAGTAAGAAGAAGAGGAAGAGAAAAAGGAAGAATAGAGGAGGAGGAGGAAGAGAGAGAACATACATAATAACTAAGAGCATCAAAAATGTTCTCAATAGATTATTAAGTAAAAACAAGGCAAATTCTAAAACATATGCAATATAACCTATATATCTACAACAAAAATTATATAGCCTGTATTTCAGATATCAAACAATATTAAATTTACCACTGTTCTTTATTTCCAAAATTAAAAATATCTATTTATTTTGTTCTTAAACTTTAACATAAATTTTAAGCAATGTATATTTACCTTATATTTAATTACTAGTATTTCAACATTTATTAAATTATTATCATCTTTTGTTCCCACTGCAAACAAAGTAGCTATAAACCACATTATAAGTTCATTCAAGTCTAGAATTTATAAAAGCACAAGTCTAAGAACCTAACTACCATTTATAAGAATAATTCAGTGGTCAAACATGTTCCAAGTTCCAAACAGCTAACATAGAAAAGAATATCCACAACAGCCTAATTACCAATTGAGGGCTATCTAATATTCCTTCCTGCCAAAAACATACTCCAGCAAGCTTCATTCTCCACTACATTCTCCATACAAGACACATTTCTCATCTGTGTGCTCTGGTTATATTGCTGTAAACCCACTGAAATGCCCTGCTCTCCCAGCCCTATCCCAAGTCTACTTTCTTCTCCCTCTCCTCCCTTATTTTTCTTAAAGAGTTTTAAAATGTTTATCTTGTTTTCTTACAAACTGGAAAACAAATACAAATTTATTAGACAACTTCTATGGTGAAGCATTATGTTACATACAAAGCCTATCAATCTAACAATTTAATATAAGAACTGTAAATGAGTTACCATCCATAAGAATTACTACACCAGATCCTTTATCTAGGACATCAGCAACAACTGCTTCACATTTTAATTTTCCTAAAATGAAAAGTAAAAGAAATAAGTAGACAATTTTAAAGACCAAAAATTACTACATTAGGACACGAAAGAATTTAATATAATTTTTACTGTAAGGTCAGCAAAACTAAAAAATTATGGCTTGAAATAATTTTCCTTAAATCACTGGAAAAAATAATTCAACAATAAAAGCAATCAGAATATCTGAGTCACTAAAAATTTGAAACACCAATATTTCTGATAAATCAGATTTTTTAAAAAAATAATCATTTTCAATGTCAATGATTCCTCTTGGTCCCTTTTCACTCTGTCATTCAACAAACATTTGTTGAACACATAAGCAATACCATTTACTCCATTCTTTCTCAAATCTCTCTCCACTGACTCAAGAGACATTGTTTCTAATCACTCTGTTCTTTTGTGGATTATTTTTCCCATCTTTTAACGGGTGATGTCTTGATAGATTATCACTGTCAGGGGATGAACTCATCAACTTTCTCCCAAAACCTGCTTTTCTCTTTTGTTCTCTATACGAATGAATATTACTATCCATCCAGCTGCCAAGCCAAACACTTGAGCATCATCCCTGACTCATAAAATAGAGAGTCAGCACATGGCAAGACTTAAGGACGTGGGAATTGACAGATGCTACATAATACTAAAAACTTGTTACTTCATCTTGAAGTCTATGGATAGCCATGTGGCGTTTTAGAGAGGTGGCAAACACATTTGCAGTTTGGAAAATAAAAAAAGAAGATTTACTAAATAAGAAAGATATTATTGAGATAAGTAAAAATGATTATTAAGGCAGACTTGGTTTTATTTTCTCCAAAAGAAAACAGGAAAGAAATTAATTATAAGAAATTCTGTATCTATTTGCTTTATGAAAATCAGAATCAAGACAAATACCTTAGAAAAGAATGAAAGAAAGAAAAACAATAATCATGGAAATTATAACTGATTATATACAATCACTGAATACAATCACTAAGTTTAGAACACACATAAAC